AGACTACAAAATAGTGTGTAAAGCCTCAAGTACACTCACAAGTATTTATTTCTGGAGGCAACCTGCTTAGCGATTAAGAATTTATAATATTTTAATATTTTCTAAATTTCCAAAGAACATGCACTATTTTTATAAATAGAAGCTATCTCAATACATGGATTGAGTATTTTTAAGCAACCTGTGTAGCAATGAACTTGAATTTTTCAGAAGCAGAAATGCTGTCGTGGAGAGGCACAGTGTAGTAGTTAATATTTCTTGAATGCTACCTACAGGCTAGGGGTAATAGATAATATCTCATAATTCTCTCATTATAATAATATATAGTGCCTCACATATTGTATATATATTATAAAGCATTCTGCAATACTCTAGTGTGTGTTTGTGTGGCATTTACACGTATGTATAACAAAACCTGTTTTCACGCTCTATCCAGCAGTACTCAAGCTGTATAAGCATTCAGAGAAGATTACACTCAAGGGACAATCTGTTGATCAGGTGGTAACTCCAAGGGGCAGAAACAAAGGTAGAAGTTTCTGCTATGTCTTTGATGATCATCTTTCCACAGCACTGCTGTTGGACAGACTTTCTATCAAAGGGCTTGGGCCATGCTGCTTCTCCCTTTGGCAGCTCCCTGCCCCTTGCACAACTAAACAGCCTCCTCACTTTCAGTCTCTTGCTATAGTTCTGGATTTTCTGGTTCTCTTCACACCTAGCCCTCTTCGCTCCCTGCCCACCCCATGCTGGGTTGTTGGCGCGGATCTCCTCTTTGTGGCTGTTGGCCAGTTTCCTCTTTCAATCTCTGTGCCTTTGACAGGGCTTAGACTGGAGAGCTTCATCAGCGTATCATGCATTCTCACCGTGTTTTAAGGCTTCCTGAAATCCTAACCTCTTCATGAATCAGAGCACCTGGCATATGGTCGGCATTCATTCATTCCTAAAGAACGTTGATTCCCTCTGCACTGGAGCCCTGTGAGACTCCAATGTATGCCCAACACACATACAAAGCAGGCCAGCAAATCTTGTATATACCATTTTCATTTTAAATTTTTTCTGGAATCTTTAACCAAGCCTACACTAATCTGAGAAATTACTTTAAAATTCCTTTTGAAAGAAAGTACCTGTTATATACCCCTGGGTATATTTCTAAAAGAAACAAAAACACTAATTTGAAAAGATACATGCACCCCAATGTCCATAGCAGCATTATTTACAATAGCCAAGATACGGAAATAACCTAAGTGTCCATCAGCAGATGACTGGATAAAGAATATATGGTATATAAATATAAAGGAGTACTACTCAGCCATAAAAAGAATGAAATTTTGCCATTTGCAGCAACATGGGTAGACTTGGAGGGCATTATGCCAAGTGAAATAAGTCAGAGAGAGACAAATACTGTATGGTATCATTTACATGTGGAACCTAAAATATACAACAACAAACTAGTGAATATAACAGAAAAGAAACAGACTCACAGATATAGAGAACAAACTAACGGTTACAGTGGGGAGAAGAAAGGGGGGAAGGGAGTAAGAGATACAAACTATTTTGTATAAAATAAGCTACAAGGATATATTGTACAACTTGGGGAATATAGTCCATATTTTATAATAATTATAAATGGAGCATAACCTTCTAAAATTGTGAATCACTATATTGTACACCTGTAACATATAATATTGTACAACTATACTTCAAATATATATGTATATATAATTTTAAGGAAGAATATCTGTTTGAAAACATTCCTTGATGAAGATGGTGGTTTAAAACACATCTCTGAATTAGATACTCTTCCTGATGGGAGACTGCCCACTGAGTCTGGGTTCTGCGGTTTCATGTCAGAGTGTGGTGAGAGTGACACTGTGTCACTTTCTGTACTAGACCTTAAGAAATGGGCGGTGTCTGCTTCCTGCCTCTTGAGATACTCATTGTTGGAACCCAGCCACCATGTGTTGAGGAAGCCCAAGCAGCCTGTGGAGAGGCCCGGCTGAAGAGGAACTGAGGCCCTCTGCTGGCTCCAGCTGACTCCAGGCTGACAGTGGGCATCAGCTTTCTAGCCATGTGAGTGAGCCATCTTGGAGACAGACTTTCCCTGGAAATCGAGCAGAGCCAAACCTTCCATGCTGAGCCCTGCCCAACTGCAGATTCATGTGCTAAACAGATTTTTTTTCCTAAACAGATTTTTTAAGCCATTAAATTTGGAGGTAGATTGTTACTCAGCAATATACAACTAGAACAAAGGTTTTGGATCTAGCATAGGTGATCTGCTTTAGCAGGGCTTCATTAGATGGTTAAATTGCTCTGTATAAGAAGTAATAGGAAATTAGAGGATTCTGAGTCAGGAACCTTAGGAGCCGAGCAGGCAGAGGATGAAGAGAGGGAGAGGGCTCTAGCAATTGGGAGGATGACTAAAGCACAAGTGAGCTCAACAGCCAGTGAAATTATCTAGTGCCAGAGACGGCACGGGGCTGTATAGGATGGGGACGCCAGGGTTCAGGTTTAAGATGTTTGCTAATGCAGCTGGCTGCCGTGGGATGGAGCACCTGCCCATCTCCATCAAATGTGCCCTAAGCCTTCGGCGAAACCCCTGCCACACACCTATGTTCTCAAGTTGGGAATACTCAGCGTGGGACGGGTGTTCTGCAATGAAGCCTGTGAGGTCACACAATGCAGAGTAAACCGGTGCACATTTGAGGCAAAACAGAAGATGGAATTTCAGAATTAACTGGAAACAAGAGCTGGAAGCCAGTCAGGAAAATACAAGGTCTGGATCTGCCCTCAGTTTTCTTTCTTGCCCTACAACCCCCGACCCTGGACAAATGTGAGGAATCTAAGATGTATGTCTTTGTAAAGTGTGGGTTCAAGTCTTTGGGGGGCTTTAATCTTAAGGTTTTAGTGACTTCAGCTGACTAGTGGTTGACATGTGACAGCACTGATCCTCCCTGTGCAGGGGGTCCCTGAATGTGTGCCTGACATATTTAGGTTTTGAAGGGGATGACCACAGTGACTTTTGCGGGCCTCAGTGTGGACCCTCAGGGACACTTGTTGTCCAGATTGCTTCTGGGTGTCAGTGGAGCATCACACACATTGGTTGGTGCCCCTCACAATGCTACTTAATAATGCCAGCAGTCTTTGGTCTGTCAGGTGACACACTCTGGGTACAGGGAAAGACCATACCAGACTCTGACCTCCAGAACGGTAAGAAAATAAATTTGTATTGTCTTAAGCCACTAAATTTGTAGTCATCACAGCAAGAGAAAACTAACGCAACCTGGATGCGAAACACTATAATAGGGTATTTTAGTCAAATGAAGGATTTAAATTAGAAGACAGAAGAAAATGAAATGTCTGAAGCTTGTTTTTGAGTTAAAATAAAGACAAGCAATGCTTGGTTTCTTTGCATTTATGTTTACTGGAAAAACAACAACAACAACACAACAATTTTTTTTCCAAAAGAGTCAAAATAAAGACCATTACACAAGATTGCACAATCAGTTACAAATGCTGGCAATTAAAGTAAGTAGGCTAGTCTCACAGAGTCCTTGTCTACGTAGTTTTCTCCACGTGCGAGACACCGATGAAGTGACCCTCAGAGCTGTCGGGCTGGGTTCACAGCACTGTCGGCCATGCTCACTGCATTCCACAAGTGAATCACATCAGGCCTCAGGTAGGAACTCCTCCACCAAGATTTCTACCTTGAGAGCAGTTTAAATTTTCACATTCTTTCCATTTACCCCTGGCTTTTTTCATAGTCAGGGGTATAATTCAGCATTATCCAATGTCTTTCTCCATTTACCACACAATTGACTCTCCTCTGTTTGGGACATAACTTCCTCAGTCTTCACATTCTTTTCAACCACCACTGTCTTTACTGTACAATAAGATGATTTCAATGTAGATAAAGAAACCTACATCTTTAAAGGGGGAGAAAAAGACTACCTGCTAGAAAAAGGACACAGGTATGACAAGCAATTTCAGGGAGCCCTGGAAAGGACTTTTTGCCATTAACACTAGCTTATAAAAAGCAATTATGAAACTTAAAAAAAGAAATCAAATTAGATGTGTTGTGTGTGTGTTTTATTCTGCACCATTATGAATCAAATTGGAATACATCTAATAATATGCTCTAGTTTGCAACATGAGACAAGAATGTTAACAGCTTACAAATACTGCTGTGAACGTTAAGTTTTCTTCTGAGACATGGGGCATACAAATGAGTCAAATTTTCAGAATCCTCCCCTGGGTCTTGTAATCACACATGCCATAGATGGACATGTTTTTGTTATTTTTTTTTTCCCTAGAAGACCAGAGTCTGCAATTCTGATTAGATTCAAGCTCAAGGTACAATTTAGCAAATGCTACATGCTTTATTAATGATTTTATGCACCTGTGAGGTCTACTTAGGACCCAGAAGTTAGTTAAGAATATATAAACAGTCTCCTGAAAATATATATCATATCTATATGTATATTTCTTTAGGAATTATGTGTAAAAGCCTAACATATTTTGTGAATTTGATTTTTATAAGTAGTTTTCTAAAACAAACCTACACATAATTTTCCCTCTCAACAGTACTGATAAAATACAGGGCACCTTTTTCTTTCAAGTATTTGGGTAAAATAGCATACCCTGAGAATTTGGGGTGCAAACCTACACCTTGTAAACTGTAGAATGAAACTCTTCAAGCACCACATAGGAAAATGTATACTGTGATAGTTTTAAAACACAGAGACTATTATTGAATGTGTTTTCTCATGCATATATATATATATATATATTTATCATGAGATTATAGTCAATCTACTTAAGAATCAATACTGTCCTGCAGTCCAAAGTATTATTTCAGGTAGCATGAGCATTCAGTTTGTAGCAAACACAGACTTTCATTTCTATGAAATATGAAAATAATTAAAATGCGTTAGATCTCTTTAAGAGGCAAGAATGATGAAATCAAATCTGAAATTAAGAAAAAGCAACTTACATCACTGGATATTTCCTAGTGATGTAAGGATGAATTTGAAATGTGTGTTAGCATTTAAGATTTACCATAAAGATGTCAAAGTGTAATTTGTGTTAGCTTATCTACTCAATATAGCTAGAGTGCTGTATACAGACAGACATCCAGAGACACAGACAGACATCCAGAGAGCCTATGGGTTAAGTCTCTAACTGCGTATCTGGGCTTCATTTAATCCTGAGGGCAATTTCAGTGAGTGCTTTTTAAGAAAATACATTCTGGTGAATTAAATTTTTATACTGGTTACAAATGGGTTTGGTTTTCCAGAAACAGTTCAAATGGAGCATGTTTCAACCTGACCATTTAACCAACATGGAAAAAAGAGGAAACGGGCTGAGATTTCTACCCACAGTGCCCTGCGGTTCATCTGGAAAACTGAGTCACCCATGTAACCCCGACAGGAAAAGGCAAAAGCCTGGCTCTGCAATTCTGATTAGATTTACGCTCCAGGCACTGTTCAGGAAATGCTACCTGCCTTATTAATGGTTTTGTGGGCATGAAACATAAGAGGGTAGCTCAGCAGCTAAAGGCACATTGCTAGGGTAATAGTTTTACTAGTTGGAGGGCTTCCTAGACTCTTGATTTAGTCCACTTGACTTTGGTTAAACAAGGAAGGGCACAACGACTTCATACAAATATCAATGCAACCGCTCAAGAAATAATAAAACAATGAAAATGAGAATTTCGATTTACCTCATGTCTTTAAAAATGTTCTTCCCAATCATTTGAGGTAGGAAATGGCCTGGCAGCTTTGGTTTGGCTTTATATGGTTTGATGAAATAGAGAACCATAAAATTATCAGCAGGTAATATAGTGCTCACAGACTTACTGTAAAGTTACATTTTTAACCATCTGGACATTTACTACATCCGTAGTAGCTTCTCAGAGGATGTGGCCTCTCTGATAGAACTGGCAAATGAGAAGTTCTCCTTCCTTTCCTTAGTTCTAGTTTACCTCAATGTGAGAATAAGGCTCAGATCTGCCGGTGATTCTAATGATAAGTAGCTTCCAGGGTCCCTGGACCCTTGGTAGGTAAGAACTCTACCATGTGTTCTAGGAAAGGAGATGTCTCTCTTTACGAAGACCTGACAAGTAGTTGACAATTCAACATGACTGCTGGGTTCTCCTAAAGTCACACATAGTTTTTAAGCAATCTTATCAATTTTAGTTTTATCTACCCAAATCCTATATAAGTTTCACCAGATGTGTTCAAATATTTGAGATCTCATGGTGCCACTGTGAGTATTGTAGGTTTGAGATCTTTGACTGAATCTACTTTCTTGTTTCAACACTGGGTGATTTCATACCTAGCCAATCTCTACTGAACATGAGGAAGGGCCGATGCTGTCAGAGAAGTTTCCCCGTGGTGGGAAATTAAGTAAGCTCTGGGGTGAATCTGTTTGTGTACTTGGGTAAGAAGACCTCTGTGACAAAGGAGTCACACCTTCCCCAATATGGTGCAAGGGCATCTTTTCCAAACACAGAGACTATTTCAGACTTTATGTTCCACATCTCACAGAGGCTATCCACTTCATTTCATAGTTCATCAGCCCAACAATTGATTGAATTGTGGCCAGAGCTGACTGTTTCTGCCTCAAACTCTGCCTTTTACCCAACAGAACTTCTTTTTAGAGTAAGGACTCTTTAAGGAAGGCCCTGAATGTGAAATTGAGTTTTCGTTTTTTAAGAGTCTGCAATGGAGAGCTTAATTACAAAGTAATCAGGTTACATAAATCATACAAAAATCAGACTCAGTTTTTACTCATACCTCAGTCATGAATAATCTAAAATACTGTGGCTTCAAGAAGCAATTTTAAGCAGAAACCAATATTGATGACCATTAAAATCAAAATAAAGCTTAAAAAAATGATCATAATGCTTTATCTTTGAACAAATAAATAAATAAGAGGAGATTCCTTAAAGAATGCCTGGGAGAATCTTCAAGTTATTCTTTCAAAAAGTAAGAAATAATTCAATGTAACATTTGTTGAATATATATAGACTCACTTATTAATCATGACAAGCTAAATATTTATCTATTCAGTCAACTCTTTAAAACTCACGGTGAACACTCACTAAAAGAACCTTCAGAATTAGGCTACCCCTGAGGCAGTATTGAATGTCGATGAAAGATTCTATGACTTGGATTCTCAACATCTCTTAAAACCATAAGGAGCAAGTGATACAATCCTGGGTCATTGCTATCGGTATGGCTATGGCTGGAGAGACTCAGAGCCACCGAAACAAAGCTTACATCCCACTCCACTGCCCCAAATGGGTCACTCTTCAGACTCCAAACAATCCGTGAGAGACAGGCATATGCAACTATGGCGGGAATCATTGAAGAAGAAAAATAATGCTATACACTCACAACAAAGGTTGGATTCCTATAGGGAAATAGGTATTTTATGCCTTTCCGAGACTAAGAATTTAATCATTTTAAATGCAACCACTGGCTCTCCTGTATTTCAAGCCGTTCTATCTTAAGGCAACAAATAGTCTCATGGCATTGTACAAATGGGAACGTTAAAACAAGGCACAAAAGTTAAAACCACTGTTTTTCACAATCACATTTGAAATCATGCTGAACCCAAGAAAAGAACATACAAAACACAACCAAGAGAATGACCAGGCGTGGATGGTATAGTATTCAAAATGCAGACCCATCATCTTTAAATCCAAACAAGTGCTACAACTCTGCCTGCTAGTCCCGCTCTACTCCAAGAATCTGTAAGAAGATGTGTGAGCCAAATGACTGATTTGCTGGTTTGGTTTACAGCAGAACCAGTCCTATTCTGTTGTATGTTTTGACTGAACTATGAGAACACTTGAGAGATTGTTTGCCTATCACAAATGCAGGAGGGAAAAGATGACCAGAAGGCTTATATCCTGTATTAAAGTATAAAAAGAAATAGTTTTACACAGAAAAAAAAATTCAATCAATCAGCTTAGTAAAACTAAAATAACACAAACTGTCTTAACAGGGTTATTCAGAAAAATATAGAAACTTACACACTTGGTTTATAAGAAGCAAAAACTAAGAATAACACATGTAGAGGAAGTTTTTCAGATGAATTCTTTGTGCTGTTATAATGCAACCTTCAGATACAGGAAGAATTGTCCATCTTTCTGTCTTGCTCCTATAAACAAACATAATCAAAGAAAAGATTGTTATTTCTAAAAGTAAATCTCGCTCTTAAAGAAGCAAGAAAAATGTGCAAATACATTTTATTTACCTATTTAGTTATTTTCCATGTTAATAATGATGAAGTTCACATTTTAAAATGC